TATAAGGCCTTAAAAAGTCTTAAAATGTCTTAAATTCGGATTCGATGGGTCTTAATTATTTTTGGTCTCATTACCGCTAAAATATCTTCAGTCTGACGGAGCTAATGACTTTATAATCACTGGACAGACCCGCGGTAAGTTACTGCGTCTTCAGAGAGAACACAGAATACAAGCTCGCGCTGAGGCTCACTCTGTTTGTCTCGAGACTTCAGAACTGATGAGCGTGACCACACACATAAACTCAAAAGAAACACACTGAGGTAAAAATTCTAAATGTTTAGTTTATTCATAACATGATGTAGTTAAATAACACCATGACAAGTGAGCTATTTTACTCAATATTCTCACGACGCAAAAAAAACAAACATTCAAAACACCTACAGAGTGCACGCATTACGTGAAGTCTAGTGCGCGTGCGCATTTAGAGTGTGCTCTGCCTGATCACTGCATGATTCAGTCTATTAAAATACATTCAGAATGATCACAAATTCAAGACATGGGGGCAGAAAATGTTTTTTTCTCCAAAAATTACCATATACAAATGTGATATAGATTTTTTACAACAGTTCAATAAACTAGAAGTTTTATTAAGAGACTTCCGTTTTAGACACCATATTGTCTGTTTTTGCTCTATTTCGCCAACAAAAATAATTTTGCGTCTCTGAGCAACATGACGGTGTTTCGTTCCTGAATGAATCACTTGTTTAAATGATTCGGTTCAGTCGCAATGACTCACTTATTAACAGTCACTCGCTGCCACCTACTGGCGCTTTTAATTTCACATTTAACGTATCTTTTCATTTTTTTTATTATTTCAAATATCAGTATTCAATGTTTTATGTTTAATATATCAAAACATTATTTTGTGTATGTTTCGAAAATCTACTGACAGCATTGCCAAGGATTAGAATTGTTTTCTGTTTTTAGAATATTCTAGTGAATTGTGTAAATAAGAACTCATTTCATTTTAGCAGTTATATTTGTTAATTTTATTCTTAATTATGATTCTAAGCATATATATATGATGCACTCAGAAATCCAGTTGCAGTCCAAGATATACAGGTGAACACCTTCATTTCTTTGTATGTCTTTCCTGTTCCTTGCTGTAGGTGTGCACACATGTTTTGTGTGTAAAACTCCTGATAAGGAGGTCAGGAGGTGTATGATCCCTGTGTGTGGGAAGTTTTATCACATGGAATGTATACTGAAATATTCCCCCACCGTCACTCAGAACCGCGGCTTCCGCTGCTCCCTCCATGTCTGTCTGGCCTGCTACATCACCAACCCCGCCAACCCTGGTATTTCCAAAGGTGACTGTAATTCAGATGTTACATTTGAAAAGATTATTTAAAAAAATTAAATGTTTCAACGTATAACATAAGCATGATTTTGTGTCATTGATCATAACTTGTCGAACTCACAGGCCGTTTGACACGCTGCGTCCGCTGCCCTGTGGCCTACCATGCCAATGACTACTGTATGGCTGCCGGCAGTGTCCCATTGGCCAATAACAGCTTCCTGTGCCCCAACCACTTCATTCCACGCAAAGGGTGCAAAAACCATGAACATATTAACGTCAGCTGGTGTTTTGTGTGTTCTGAAGGTGTGTAGTCCAGTCCTCGTGGTTCCCTCTGTTAAAATTATTAGTGGTGCTTGCTAAGGGTATTATTTTCCAAGCAAGCAGACTTGCTTAGTTTTTGCCTGGTGAGTAATAAAAACAGACCCTACAACATCCAGCATCATGGCAGCAAGTTTTGCATTAGCAAGCACTAGGGGTGTAACGATTCACTAATTTTCTCAATGCATCAAGTACAAATCCTGCTGAAGCTGATGCGCTGAAACATGGATTTTTGAAGTGAGAATTGTTTGTATCGGTCAAGAATCAATTTAAAATGGAATGATACATGATGTAGTCCAAACGAGTCGTTCGTTGTAGTTTTTGCAAAGTGATTTCTATTAAATAAAATATCTCCTTTTGAAGTGGACTTTGAGCTTTGTAACTTTGCAGATCTTTTTTTATGCTCAAACAGCAACATTACAGACTACCTAAAGTTGAAAAAGCATAATAGGACCCCTTTAACTCTCATTGAAACTTATTCTGAGCAGCTTTCTGAGCAATTCATGTTTGATCTCTCCGCAGGTGCAGATGACAGCGAAATAGTTTTGAGTCAAACATGCACAAATCGTTGATAAGGCTGCCAACGCATTGGTTGGCACTACTATTACCACTCCTACTGAAATAAAATGCTTTAATTGCATGAAAACCTCGCCACTATTTTCTAAACGAGAAAATACAGAATCAAATTAATTGGAATCGAATTGAATCCCATTGATAATTTAAATTCTACATTTGCAAAAATCATTCCTCCTCATCAATGAATCATCAGTTAAATTGATTTCTCAAAAAATTCACACCCCAAGCAAGTAACTTTCTCATGTTCTTCAGAAAATTTAAAAATCTAATTTGTGTTATAGTGAGTCATGAGGACAGAGCAAACATTTTACTACGGTTGTTTATTACAATTACATTTGTTTTCTGTCTCTCCCTATAGGAGGAAGTCTGCTTTGCTGTGAATCTTGCCCTGCTGCCTTTCACCGTGAGTGTCTGAACATTGACATGCCCCAGGGAAGCTGGTTCTGTAATGACTGTCGAGCGGGAAAGAAACCCCACTACAAGGACATTCTGTGGGTCAAAGTGGGCCGCTACAGGTTTGTGTGTTGTTTCACCAATATCATTTTCCCCTGAAAATTACAGTGCAATGTTCACTGATGTATTTCTGACCTTTTGTTCCAGGTGGTGGCCCGCTGAAGTGACTCAACCAAAAAACGTTCCTGAGAACATCTACCGCTTGAGGCATGAGGTGGGGGAGTTTCCTGTGCACTTCTTTGGCTCCAAAGACTACGTGTGGACATATCAGGCTCGCTGTTTTCCCTACATGGAAGGGGATGCCAACAATAAGGAAAAAATGGGAAAGGGTGCAGATGCCATCTATAAGAAAGGTAGTTTTATGCAATAGCAGAATTCTAAAATAGTCAACACAATAAAACACAATTAACTAATTAGGTGCTATACTAACAAGCGATTTATCTGTTCATACTGTGCTTCAAAACATGTTTGCTATCTAAAATATGGCTATGTGGAGTGGGATTTTGGACACACAAATAATATATGATGTTTTGAAGCTGGTTTGGAGAAACTTGACATGGACTTCTGTAACATGGAGAAAATCGGATTAATCTTCTGTTATCTTGACACGTTATCATATTATGAGTGATTATGACAATGAAAAAATGTTTTTTATAAAAGTTTGACGCTATAGAAATGTGAGGTTTTAATTGATGTAGGCTTTTATGATACCACTTCAAGCGTGCCAGATGTAGCAACTGTTGATTAGCGTTTACAGTGTGGATTCTTTCAATGTTAAGAGTAAACCGGTTTAAAGAACCATTTTGCTTTTTCTCAGCTTTAAATGAAGCAGCCGAAAGATTCAGGGAACTGCTGGCGGAGAAGGAGATGAGACAGCTTCAAGAAGACAGGAAGAATGACAAGAAACCTCCGCCATACAAACACGTAAAGGTAAAATAACAAATGCTCAGATAGTGACACTGATCTCATGTTGTTATCTCTCATGCACACCGATCGATTTTCACTCAGGTGAACAGACCGATAGGGAAGGTGCAAATCATCACAGCAGATCTGTCTGAGATCCCACGCTGCAACTGCAAAGTCTCAGACGAGAACCCGTGTGGCATTGACTCGGAGTGCATCAACCGCATGCTAATGTACGAGTGTCATCCTCAAGTCTGTCCAGTAGAGGAACGCTGTCAGAACCAATGCTTCACCAAACGCCAGTACACTGAGGTGGAGATCTTCAGGACGCTGTCGCGTGGTTGGGGTTTACGCAGTGTGTCTGACATCAAGAAGGTGGCCTATTTTTACACACACACACACACACAGATTATTATGTCTCTCTTCCCCATTTTATTTCATTACGTTACTCCACCATAGGGAGCTTTTGTGAATGAGTATGTTGGAGAGGTCATTGACGAAGAGGAGTGTCGAGCCAGGATCAAACACGCACAGGAAAACAACATCTGTAACTTCTACATGCTCACACTGGATAAGGTCAGTCACCTGGGGTGATTCTCAGTCCTGATTATCCTGATGTTCCCCACTTACCTTGACACTGGGCTCTGTTTTCTGTGTATGTGCAGGATCGGATAATAGATGCCGGGCCGAAGGGAAACCAGTCGCGTTTTATGAACCACAGCTGCCAGCCGAACTGTGAGACACAGAAGTGGACGGTGAATGGAGACACCAGAGTCGGGCTTTTTGCATTAGAGGACATTCCTACAGGTGAGTTTGAATCTGAACCAGGTAATATGGTGCTAGAAAGTGGGTGAATGTTTGTTTAATAGATTTGTTGGCTGTTCTCAGGTGTTGAACTCACTTTTAACTATAACTTGGAGTGTCTTGGTAATGGGAAGACGGTGTGTAAATGTGGAGCGCCCAACTGCAGCGGATTCCTTGGTGTCAGACCAAAGGTATGGCATGCATTGTGTATTATATTCAGGGTTAAAGTTGGTGTATGTCGTCATTCATATTCCATCATACTTGGTGTGATCACACTTTCTCTTCAGAATCAGCCCTCATCTGAAGACAAGGTGCGGAAACTGAAGAAGAAGGTTGCTGTGAAGCGTAAGAACCAGTTAGAGGTCACCAAGGAGCGGGAGGATGAATGTTTCTGCTGTGGTGATGGAGGACCAATTGTGTCTTGTAAGAAGCTCGGCTGCCCCAAGGTCTATCATGCCGACTGTCTGAATCTGTCCAAGAGACCTGCAGGTGAATGACTCAAGAACACTAGTCTCTTGTATCTAATTTGTTTTAACAAGTTTCATTGTCTTAAAGGGATAGTTCACCCAAAAATGAAAATTCTGTCATTAATTACTCACCCTCATGTCGTTCCAAACCTGTAAGACCTTCATTCATCTTCGGAGCACAAATGAAGATATTTTTGATGAACTCCCGACAGCTTTCTTACCCTGCATAGACAGCAACGCAACTGACACATTCAAGGCCCAGAAAGGTAGACATTGTTTAAATAGTCCATGTGACAGTGGTTCAATCGTAATTTTATGAAGCTGCGAGAACACTTTTTGTGCACAAAGAATACGAAAACAATGACATTATTCAACAATTTCTTCTCTTCCATGTCAGTGTTCGACGTGCGTTCACGAGAGTACCACGACGCATGCGTGTGATGATGCTGATGCAGGAGCCGGCGATCTGATGTAGAACATCCATCTCTCTTATGGCGCTTTTCCACTGCATGGTACGGCTCGGTACGGTTCACTTTTGGGGGGTTTTCCACTGGGTACAGTACCTGGTACTTTTTTTAGTATCACCTCAGTTGCGGTTCCAAGTGAACCGTACCATTACCAAAACGTGACGTGTAAACTCTGCTGATCACGGATTGGCCGGAGAGAATCGTCACTAGCTGCGTCACTGAACTTGAGACGCAAACACAACAGAACCGCTAGATTTAAATCAGCACAGCCAGCGAAGGATCGAACGCAACTGTTTTGAACGAGCGCACCTTTTTTTAACAACCAAAAAGTGGCTGTTTCGTTGTCTGTTGAGGAAGTACAGACGTTCCTCTCGTTGATAGCAGAGGATCGGATCCAGCGAGAGCTTGATGGGGTGACGCTTAATGAAAAAGTTTTTCAGGAGTCGCGGCAGTAGAGGCGACGCAACTATAACGACATGTGAATAATCCCGCCCACTCTAAAGTGATACTAAACTGCAGTGGAAACACGAGCCGTGCCGTACTGAGCCGAGTCGTACCATGCAGTGGAAAAGTGCAGACATTTGTTTACATCTTTTTCTGTTCGTAAACAAGGCGCAGCGCATCAGATCGGTGGGTCTTGCGTCAGCAGCACCACACGCATGCGTCGTGGTACTCTTGTAAATGCATGTCATCTGACACGGAAGATAAGAAATTGTTGAATAAAGATGTCATTTTTGTTTTCTTTGCACACATAACTTGTAGCTTAATAACATTACGGTTGAACCACTGATGTCACATGGACTATTTTGACGATGTCCTTACTACCTTTCTGGGCCATAACTGCGTTGCTGTCTATGCAGGGGTCAGAAGCTCTCGGATTTCATCAAAAATATTTGTGTTCCGAAGATGAACAAAGGTCTTATGGGCTTGGAATGACATGGGAGGGAGTAATTAATGACAGAATTTTCGTTTTTGGGTGAACTATCCCTTTAAGGTTTTTTTGCATCGCTCTGAAGTTTGATTATGAAGTATTTCTATCATGGTGAGCTTTTTTTTTTCTTTTCTTTTGTGTTTGTATTTTGAATTGAAACAGGAAGTTGAGCTGGTCTTTTAAAAAACAAAACCAGTGAAAGCCTTTAGTTTTACTCTGTTTAAACGTGTAGGATAAATTTTTAATGTTTTTAAATTAGTCTGTTATGCTAAGATTGCAATTATTTGACCAGAAATATAGTAAAAACAGTAATATATTGTATAGTATTGTAACAAAATAAACCGTTTTAAATCTTTTTTTCCTTTTAATATAAAGTTGTATTTATTCCTGTGATGGCGAAGTTGAATTTTCAGTAGTCATTACTCCAGTCTTCAGTGTCAAATCATTCTAATATGCTGATTTGCTGCACATGAAACATTTATATGTATTATCACTATTGTTCTGCTTAATATTTTTGTGGAAATAGAAAGTTCAACAAAGTTCAATTGAACAGCATTTATTTGAAATAGAAGATTTTGTAACATTAATTATACCAAAGATGTTGCTGAATATGAGTAATCATTTCTTACTGACACCATAACTATGGCAAAACCATGATTTGCTGCTTGCTATTACTAGTTTGTGACAGGAAGTATTATACATTTGTTTTTTTCTTTATGGTTAAAACTATCAATAGAGGACAATAAACGCATTTAATTTCCTGATTTCTGACCAGTCTATAGAGGCAGCATTAAATGGTCATATAAAACTCTTAACATTTTAATATATTAAAACATGTCATGTATGTATATATATATATCTGAAGTTTGATATATATAAATATATGTTATTTTTTCAGCACTTTAAATTAATTTTATGTTAAATAATAGAATAACTCTCCCATTATTGGCTATTTGGTCAGCTCAGGATTTTATTCAAGCTGAATCATAACTGAAGCAAGCAGTATATGCATTTTTCAGGCCGCTGGGAGTGTCCGTGGCATCAGTGTAATGAGTGCGGAAGGGAGGCAGCATCCTACTGCGAGATGTGTCCCAACTCCTACTGCAAACAGCACCGCGAGGGAATGCTGTTCATATCCAAACTGGACGGCAAGCTGTCCTGCAGCGAACACGACCCATGCGGCCCCGATCCTCTGGAACCGGGTGAAATTCGAGAGTATGTGCCCGGTACACCTATCCTACCCCCTCTGCCCAATATGTCAGTGTCAGGCAGAATACCTCTGCCTGCCCTACCGCCTGCTGCTCCGCTCTTCATTCCCGCCCCCAACAGACCCGTGTTCCAAGCCCAAAGACACCCTTATGCAGACGAGGTGGTGGACAACGTGGTTTTGCCACCCTCTTCTCTTTCTAAGAACATCAAGGAGGAAGATATGAGTGATGAAGGTGAGGTGGTGGAAGGGGTGATTGGGGATGAAGGAGAAGAAGAAGGCCTTGAGGTTGTGGATGATGATGAAGAAATGGACTACGGAGGGATGGGATTCGAGGATGAGGAGGAAGAAAAGGTGGACCGTGGCGAGGACTGGGGAGATGAATTTGTGGATGATGACTTCGAAGACACTGAGGATTTAGGGGAAGTGGAGGAGGAAGACCAGGAATCATCATATGAGTTTGTCGAAGGAGAAAAGTGAGCTCTCCTGCATTATTGCTTGACGTCTATCTCTCGCACAAAAACTCTCGGTCTGATGGGCACAGATATCTGAAGTTTGATATATATAAATATATGTTATTTTTTCAGCACTTTAAATTAATTTTATGTTAAATAATAGAATAACTCTCCCATTATTGGCTATTTGGTCAGCTCAGGATTTTATTCAAGCTGAATCATAACTGAAGCTGCAGTATATGCATTTTTCAGGCCGCTGGGAGTGTCCGTGGCATCAGTGTAATGAGTGCGGAAGGGAGGCAGCATCCTACTGCGAGATGTGTCCCAACTCCTACTGCAAACAGCACCGCGAGGGAATGCTGTTCATATCCAAACTGGACGGCAAGCTGTCCTGCAGCGAACACGACCCATGCGGCCCCGATCCTCTGGAACCGGGTGAAATTCGAGAGTACGTGCCCGGTACACCTATCCTACCCCCTCTGCCCAATATGTCAGTGTCAGGCAGAATACCTCTGCCTGCCCTACCGCCTGCTGCTCCGCTCTTCATTCCCGCCCCCAACAGACCCGTGTTCCAAGCCCAAAGACACCCGTATGCAGACGAGGTGGTGGACAACGTGGTTTTGCCACCCTCTTCTCTTTCTAAGGACATCAAGGAGGAAGATATGAGTGATGAAGGTGAGGTGGTGGAAGGGGTGATTGGGGATGAAGGAGAAGAAGAAGGCCTTGAGGTTGTGGATGATGATGAAGAAATGGACTACGGAGGGATGGGATTCGAGGATGAGGAGGAAGAAAAGGTGGACCGTGGCGAGGACTGGGGAGATGAATTTGTGGATGATGACTTCGAAGACACTGAGGATTTAGGGGAAGTGGAGGAGGAAGACCAGGAATCATCATATGAGTTTGTCGAAGGAGAAAAGTGAGCTCTCCTGCATTATTGCTTGACGTCTATCTCTCGCACAAAAACTCTCGGTCTGATGGGCACAGCCAGGTGACCTGTAGGGAAAGTCAACTGCCATTTTTCCGGTCGATGCTCAGCTGAATGCAAAACAATTTTTGAGAATGATGGACGTGTGCAACATTCTTAAGTTGATGACGGTATCAGCTTGCCTTCTCAACCCAAGTCCTCTTTGAAAAGTCCATAAAGAGGGTTGGACCTGGTGCTGTGGGACTGTGATTTTTTTTTGGTATATAATTAGTGTCTGGTGCTCTTTTGTGTTTTTTGTTTTTTTTCCTCCTCAACGTGTTTACATTCTCCGATCTAAACCGAAAGATGACCTCACGGAGAGTTAAAATGGGGCACCACAAACCATACAGTTGTGTCTTACTTACGAACTCTGCATAGATTTTGATTACACTTCATTGACAGAGGAAAGAGAACGCAACAAAGCAGCAGATAACTAATGTTCAGTCCCTTCACCGGGTGATTGCAATGACATTGCCACATCATTAGGCCAAAAATAGCTTGAAGCTCCACGGGTCACGGTACTTGAAATGATTTCTTCAGGTCTGTCTGTTAGTATCACAGAGTGGTTACATGAAAATGAATAAAAGGAGTCCTCGTACATATTTTTCAGCTGATTTGTGAATAAAAAAAGAAAACGAGTGCTACTATCAAAAAGGACAAGAAAGTATGACATTCCAGCATCATCCTGCTTGATTTCAAACATGCTCTTTTTTGTTGCATTTGTGTTTCTGTCATTTTACTTCACTTCTATGTCAAGGCAATATGTCAAGACTAAAGAAACTTAGTAGTTTTAAGGTTTTGTAAAGTCTAGCTGCTTGGCTACATGCTTGTGGCCTTTGAGTCTTGAGAGCTTTTAGGAAAGATGAGTTTGTACTTCTTAGATAAGATGGATGTTGCATAAGGCCTTTTTGTACTTTCCCTAGATATTTAAATTCAACCACCATCTCAGAATACTGTTAAAAAATCTCCAGATGCCTCATTGCAGTAACCATTCAGAATATCAGAGAAATTCCCTCCACCCAACGTTGTGTTACAAATCTGCAGGTTATGTTTTCCTATGAGCAGGTTAACTTTAAAAGGTGCCTCTGAATGTTTTGCACTCTTTCAGAGATCAGGAGAAATTTCAAGAAATTTTAAAGTGTCATTTATATTCATGATGCCCATAACTTTTTGCCATTGATTGATTCCACTCTGTTCATTCAACATACTCTGTAGATCTGCCTGATGAAACTTATGGCAGTTCATTATGGCTTTATTGACTCAAGTGATCATGTTTGCATTTAATATTTAAGGGATGCAGATGACCCCTTAAAAATGCATATTTAGACCAAAAAAATCCGGTCTTTCCCCAAATTATTTTTTATTTTCATTACAAATATATTCTAATACTGGAGCCAATCTTTGTTTCCAGTAGTCATATTATGGTTTAATTTTGCAACATTATGATTTATGATCCTATATTAAAATTTCTCTCACCATCACTTGAATCTCCAAAATTATGAAAGCACCTATTGTTTGCAACATCATTGTGCATCAGGTACAATTCCTGATTGAAAAACTGCCTCATGTAATGAAGTAATGTTCATATTCACAGAACCTGTTTGGAATCTGTTTCCATCACTGATATTGTACAATGTTTTCAATGCCTTTAGACCTTACACTCATTATTTCTGGTTCTGTGACTCTTTGCAACCTAATCATGTGGATGCTTTTTTTATTATTTATCATCATCAACCTTTGTACTTTCTTTTCTTAGCTCTATTACTTTTAAAGTCATACTTTTTGTCTCTTTGTATTTATGGTCTTTGTATAATCTTTCTCACTCGTTCTTGTGTTCCTTCACTCTAAAAAATGCTGGGTTAAATATAACCCAGCGCTGGGTTAAAAAGGGACAAACCCAGCGGTTGGGTTGCTTTGACCCAGAGGTTGGGTTGCTTTGACCCAGAGGTTGGGTTGCTTTGACCCAGCGGTTGGGTCAAAACAACCCAACTGCTGGGTTCATCCCTTTTTAATCCAGCACTGGGTTATATTTAACCCAGCATTTTTTAGAGTGTTGTTTCTTGTATTTGTTAAATCTGCTGCTGTGTTTCATCGCTATGGCCCCTTGATACCATGAACGACGAAATGTAGATGACCGTTTCCTGAGGGCAAAAGGTTTTCTGCCATGTTAGAGACACATGATTTTGTACTGTAACTTGTGCATAAATATTATAAGTAAAATTTTACAATAGACAACAGTTTCTTGTTTTTTTGTTTTTTTTTAATCAAATGTCCTTACAAGTTGTATGTAGATCAAACCAGATATAGTACTTCATAAATGCTGAGCTTTTAAAAAGAAAATGCACAACAATAATTGCTGACAATTAATGTTTCCTTGATCAAACAATTACACAATCAAGAGAGCATTACATATTTGTATACAAATGCTATCTTTCTTAAGACATTTTCCTTGTTTTTAACACGACGTGTTATTGAAGACCTGCCTGTTATAGTTGTAAAAAAACTGTTATACGTTACAATATAGTAGTAGTAGTACAATATAGCTACAAAAACACAATATAAAGCAAAAAAAGAAAGAAAGAACAGTTCCTTAAATTTATTCCTGAGACCTGCTCATTTAAATAAAAATACGAAAGAGACTATCTTTAAATGCCTGTGGTAGGTATCCCCCCCCCACTATTTTTAAGAAACACTGAATCCCATATCTTCGACATGAAGGCAAAAGCTCAAACTCATCATACAGTGGGTGCTTATGATCAGATGTCATTTTCATAGCTTTACTAAGGCATCTAGTTTGATCAATTTGTTCTAGGCATATCATAGAAATGCCAATTTGCTCAAAATGTTTACGACTTTCATCAGCGAACTGTTTTGTTCCACCGTAGCATTTCCAAATCAGCACGTGATACAAAAGGTCAAAACACTTTCAATAAAAGAATTATAAAATACTTTTAATGTGGAAGGTTTACATTATGACGCCATCTTCCTAAGAAAGTATAGCCTTTGCTGACCCCTTTTGTTCACAGCTTCAGTCCATTTATCCCACCTCAATTTATGGTCTAGGTAACCCAAAGTATTTATATTCCTCAACATTCTGAATCTGCTCCCCTTTAACAGTGGTCACACTCGCTGAGGATTCTTTCCTAAAATCAATACACATTTCTTTAGTTTTTAAAACATTTACTTAAGATTTGATGCATCACACCAGGTAATCCATTTGTTTAAAAGGGTCCATGACTGTCCTCATCACCTTGGAGGAGACTAACCGATGCAGTATCATCTGAAAATGTCATTAAATATCTCCCTGAACAAGTACTCCTACAATTGTTTGTATACAAAATGAGCTGTAAGGGTGAGAGGACACAGCCTTGTGGAGAAGCAACATTCGTAATTTGTTTATCGGACAATGAACTACCCACACACACTTGTTGAACTCTGTTACTTAAGAAATCCTGCAACCACAAAATCAGTCCTCCATCTAGGTGAGAAATCTACAGATCAGGACAGATGGCAAGATATTATTAAAAGCGGAAGAAAAGTCAGCAAAAAATAATTATCACATGATTTTTGGAACCCTCAAGATGCGAGTAAACAATATGCAACAATGTTAAAATAGCATTGTCCACAAATATTATAAAGCCCATAACTCCGAAACATTTATGTATATTCCAAAACATTTTCTTGACAGCAGCCTCTATGATAGAAAAATTATGTCAATGTCAAGAAAGTTCCTTCATTTGTATTACTTTCTTCATTATTCCCCTCAAAACAAGAAAATACCTGATTTAACCTGTTTGCTCATTCAAAATTGCAACTTTATTTTACTTATTTTTTTCATCTGTAACGGTCATATTTATATATTTCTTCCGTTTACTCTTATGTGGGACACTGATCTTCATCCCGATTCCTTCCCAGGCCAATAGAATTTCACTGTGACATTTTAGCTTCAATTTTTTTGTTTGTATAGGGCCTTATTTACATTCATTTGCCTTTTCATTTCTCTTTGAATGTCCCTTTCAGTTGGGACATTATTATTATAATAAGCTATACCTTCATCTTATTTATCAGTTGTTTCAATATTTTGCCATGGATCCTGCAAAAAAAACTCTATACTAGTCCCCACATATGTTTAATTGAATTTCCTGAGTACGGGCATATTTCCTCATATTTTTTTATTATGTTTGTTTTGAACTTGTTATAGTGTGCTGGTCTTATCTGGTTCACAGCCTGTTGACTGGTTTTATAGACACATTTTTCATCTAGTAAGACTGGGAAACCACCTAAACCAGCTAAGACCATTAAGACTGGCCCATGTATAATTTGCACGCTACTTACGTATCAAAAAGTTGTTGTGCTTTGTCGATCTTAAAACATTTACACCTCCAAGCCGCAGGTGGCAGCAGTGCGTCAAGCAGTCAGTGCATCGCTTCGGGACGTCTGCTGGTGAAGCGGTGTCAAAACAGGCAAGCACATCATGTATTATTTAATTTACGCGTTTGATATAACCTTCTAAAATTCGTTCGAGGTCAGTACTAGACTGACGTGATTTTAATAGCGTCGTTAGTGTCAAAATACATGCTGAATTTGCGAGGTTTAGACTCGTTCTTATGGCTAGATGTATTCCCGGTTATGCTAACAAGCTAACTGATTGTTTTGATCATAACAGTTTCTCATTTCAACGTACAATTTTAATGATTATTACAGTTTTCTTTAGTTAGACAAAAATGTCATTGCAGTGTATTATTTAAACAGTTAAAACAAATTGAGAATAATAGCTGTAGATATTTTAGCTCATAGTTTTGCTGTGTTTGGGCTGCATAGCCCTGGCAAAGGATTTTATATATTTGTTTTAAACTAAATTCAAAGGAGTGTATTCATGTTTATTTTCATTCAGAGTTCTTTATAACTAATTAATTATGCGTTTATACAGTATTGCTTTTTAGAGTGACATTTTATTCTAGTTAAGGCTAGTTGGGTACAAAGCATTTCAGTCTTTTTAGGCTCTTTATTTTTATGACAACAGGCCTTCAAACCTACATCCTTGGAATTATATCCTTTGAGTGATCTGCTTACTTCGAAATGACATATTGATAGGTGTTGTATGTCTAAAATCTAGGAACCATAAGACTGGATTCTATGTTCTTTTTGCTTGTTTGTTTTTTGAGCCAATGTTTGAGTCAGACTTTGGCTCAGATTTTGTTATCCCTGGAAATCATTTACTGACCCATTGGCTTGATTTAATCAGCACTGAGTCACACAAACACGTTGTCAGCTTTAGAGACCATTCAGATATGATTCAAACATGACAATAATAGATCGATTTGACAAATGAGTTCTTCTGAAGGGCTTGATAAAAAAAAAAAAACTAGCCATTTATAAAAACATAATCAAACTACTATTCTGCTGTAATTCAATGTGTGTCATGATCGACCAAACCACACTGTTCGCACAGTTTGACAATTTTTGTTTTCTACTAATACCTGGAATGGACAAACTAAAGAACACATTATCTATGCAGGGGTTATAATGTAGTAGGTTTTTAATGTGTATATGCGGTTCATTTAAATGTTTTTACTGTTTTGCAGGACGTTGTGTGTGTGTGTGTGTAAGCTGTAACGCTGTGCTGATGGAGCAGTGTGCGTGTGTGGAACGGGAGCTCGAGAAGGTGCTACACAGGTTTGTCACATATGGACATCAGTCAGAGGAAAGGCTGGATGAACTCCTGAGGAACGTCTGTGAGCTGAGGAGTCGATTGGTTGCCTATGGTGAGCTTAGAATCCGCTTGGATACCAACATTTGGGCTTTGGTACAGTATGAGCATCTAGTAGTTCGGTATCTGTACCTTAGGCAATAAAACAGCCATGGGTAACTGATGAAATGAAGGCATGATGATTCATCTGAATGACTCGCATGGCAGAAAATATGTGAATAAGTATAGAGACACTGGGCAATATGAAATCTTGTTTCTGCCATAGGATAAAAAAAGGTAATTGCAACTTGATCTCATATTTCTTGCCTTTTTTCTATCAATTCTGAGTTTATATCTCACAATTCTAACGTTCTCAGAATTGTAAGTTTATATCTCACATTTCAGACTTTTCTTCTCAGAATTTTTAGTTCATATCTTGCATTTAAAAAAACAAAAATTCAGTGTTGTGAGTTATCAACTTGTGTGATAGAGTGATTCGTATGTCAGTGCTTGTACATGAAAACAAGTCTAAAGAGGAGGAGGAGGAGGATGAAGTCAACCAAGTGCTTTTACGGCTTTGAAAAAAGCCAATTCAGTGACATTAAGTCATGAACAATAGGTGTACTTTAGATGCCTGCATAAATAATAGCCTGCAGTGCAAACAAACAAACATACAAAAACACAGGAAAAACTGCATTTAGCTGTATAACCTCTAGCCCACACGTTAGATTTTGTAGATGGTTATACAAGCATAACTCTGTTACAGAGCTGAGTCACAGTAGCATATGTCTGTTTAGATCAGAGTTCACTGAGTTGCTATATTTCATCATACTGTTTCAACTCTAGGTGTTCAAGATACAGATTTGTCAGTGCTCCATCAAACAATGGCCCAGTGCTGCAAGGAAATCAAAGAAACTGTGCAGATGCTTGCCTCAAGGCACAAAGACATCCATGGCAGTGTGTCGAAAGTGGGGAAAGCAATTGACCGAGTAAGAATTTGCAGTCTTAATTGCTTATGTTGTTGTTCAATTTAATTCAATCAAATATTAAAAGGACATTCAATTTAACAACAGTTTATCTTAGTCAGGGTCTCCCAAACTGGGTGTTGTTTATGAAATGTTGAGGAAAAGTTAATAGATATTTAAATTGTACAAATGTAAAATTCAATTAAATAATTTTTAAATCAAAACATACTAAAGAAAGATAAAATATATTATGTTTGTCTGGATAAATATCTTCAAATAAATACCGGTGACATTCCCAGTCCTGTTCTTCCTCTCTTTTCCCAGTAGTTTATGGTTGCTTTCTACATTTTCTGTCTCTTAAAAGTGAAAAATCTGTACCTGTTTGATGATAAAATTAGACTTGTGGTTTAATTTACTTTAGTAAATCAATCACCTCAAAGTATTGTGTTATGTGGATTAATATGTTTCTTTTAAATGCTCTTCTCTTGCACAGAATTTTGATGCGGAGGTGAGTGCAGTTGTAGCTGAGAATGTCTGGGACTCTCCAGAGAGGCAGAAATACCTCAGTGAAACCATCGTAGAACATCTGTATCGACAAGGCATGTTGAGTGTTGCAGAGGACCTCTGCCAGGTATCATTTTCTTTTGTATTATTATTAAATACTGTAAATATTAGTGTGCATTTCTGTAAACATTGCTGTAATTCACATTTATGTGAAGTTATGAGATTATCAGATAGAATTTTGTTGACAATTTGATCCCAGCTCTAACATGTAGTGTGTTAATCTGACTTCACAGGAGTCTGGTGTAGTAATTGACATGAGCATGAAACAGCCATTTCTGGAGCTCAACCGCATTTTAGAGGCTTTAAGAACACAAGATCTCAGACCAGCTTTAGAGTATGTGTCGCATCCTTCCGTTTTCTACTTCCCACTTTTGTTTGTTGATTTTTCTTTTCACTTTCAAAAGTTTGGGGACAGTAAAGTTGTTTTTTTTTTTATTAAAGAAATTATTACTTTCATTCACATTAATTTAATCAAAAATTACAGATATTTATAACAATATTTATAATGTCACAAAAGATTTCTGTAATAATAACGAGCAGCACAGCTGTTGATAAGAAATGTTTCTTGTGCTTCAAGTCAGAATATTAGAATAATTTCTTAAGGATCATGTGACACTGAATACTGGAGTAATGGCTGCTGAAAATTCAGTAATCTATTCCTGCCATCACAGGAATAAATTATTTTTGATCAAATAAATACGGCCTTGGTTAACATAATAGACTTCTTTCAAAAACATTAATAATCATACTGACCCTAAACCTTTGGATTGTAGTGTATCTTATCCACATCCTCTCAGTCTTTAAACAAACCCTAGATTCTTTCAGAACAATGAATTTGATTGGGTGTGGCTTGAATAGTTGGATTGTAGATTTAAGATTACTAGTTGTGATTGTTTGTTTGGTTTTATGATTGCTGTGGTAGGTGGGCGGTGGCAAACCGACAGCGGCTGCTGGATCTGAACAGCACCCTTGAGTTCAAGCTTCACAGACTGTATTTCATCAGCCTGCTCAACGGGGGCATCAGCAAACAGCAGGAAGCTTTACAGTACGCACGGCATTTCCAACCGTTTGCCTCACAGCATCAGAGAGGTGAGGAAAGGTTCAGTCCAGAATTCATGGAAAAAACACTCTTGAACCACAATTAGGCTTTAGTTTTGTAAACATGGGTTAAACTGAAGCACCTTTGAGGCTGTTTTTCCAATAACATCATTGGTGCAGTTATTTTGTTCTGTATTACACTACCTGACTCACTGTTGATGATATTTGACCCTTGTTTGTGTGTACTTTCTAGATATTCAGATCTTAATGGGTAGTCTAGTGTACCTCCGCCATGGGATCGAGAACTCTCCGTACCGCAGTCTGCTGGAGACGGATCAGTGGGCAGAGATCTGTAACATCTTCACACGAGATGCTTGCGCTCTTCTTGGACTCTCTGTGGAGTCCCCACTCAGTGTCAGGTCAGAAAAAAAGTCCTAAAATTTCTACACTTCCTGTGAACCCCTAACCAATAATTAGATAGATGTCAGGCCTGTTTTAGGAACTACTGAATTCATTAATCTCTTCAAGTTTTATGCAAGTTTTACATTGTGTTCAATAGAATGGAATAAAACGCATGAGTCTCAAGGCTTGTTTTTAACATGTAAACATTATAAAGTTTGAACTTGAAATTACACTTTTTCTAATGTCTATTCACTGCTTTACTTGTCTGCATAATGCACCATTAAAATGTTTGGGGTCAGTAAGATTTTTAAAGGAATTTGAATAAAGCCTCTTGTGCTTACTAAAACTGAATTTATTATTACAAGTATCGGAAATAAATCCCCCCCCCCCAGTTTAAATGTATTTTAAACACACTGTGAGATCTCTGTTGTCATACTGCTATTCCTTGCTTACAATGTCTTAAACACTCTCTTCTCAGGCTTAAATGCCCATATTGTCCAATGGAGCAGAATCCCTCAGATGCCAAGCAGATCTTCTTCTGATGTCTTTTTTTTTTTTTTTTTTTGGAGTGTAGCTGAATGTCGTGTTGAAGGTCTCTTGGAGCCGCTTTTTGAATGATCTTCATTCGCAGGCATGACGAGCCTTCTGTGGCGGCTTTTCCCCCCGCAACGCCACCTCCCTCTCCAAAGCTTTTAGTTTACAGAGGCCGGTGGCCACGGAACATACCTGTAGAACCCGAGTCAGTAAGTGTACCTAATGAGGAAAACAATCGTTGCAGATCATTCATTTGTTAACACAGCCTAGTATAAACAGGCTTTTACAAGTACATGTGTGTGTGTGCATTTTGCTTGCTCTACATTTGTTTTAATTGCAGAGTATTTTTAAGTTTCCATGGTATAACGCCTCTCTTTTTCTTTCTTTGTGATTTTATTAAGCAAATGGGCGTGATGCATCTGTGTGGGTGACTTCTTGCCAGAATATATTCACGGTTTCCTCTTTTGAGATCACATTTAAATACATGAACGGGGATTGTTTGCACGTGTACATGATAGAAGTGGCTTTTCAGTATGTATATTAACAATGATATAAGGACTGGTGGACGGGTGCCTGCTGATTATAAATGAATCACGTCTCTCTTTCCAATATAATAAAGGCTTAATTGGATTGAATGGTGTTTTGATTAGTGCATATTCATGATAAATCTGAGGATTTGTTTGTGCAAATTGTGATCTTGTTCCTTGCGCCCGTCTGATGTCTGAGAAAACCTCCTTGTCCAAGCCATGTGTCTTGCTCTGTGTATTTAAAAAAAAAAAGTTTAATTAATATACAGCAGTGATTTGTGATGGTATAAAGTTTTCATTAGTATAATTACATATGTAATGTATTTAAATGCACACACAAGTTGTTTTATCACAGAGTTGACTGGACTTGCTGAATTAGCTCTCACAGCTCCAGGCTTCTCCACTTACAAAATCAAAACGGGTCTATGCGTTGATTCGAGAAATGCATCCTTTGCAGACACTTGCATTAACGATTGAACCTTTGCCAGCGTAACACTGAAACTATATGTCCATTAATGTACAGTTGATGGTAGACTGACTGTAGACTGTGTTTTAATGTTCCCCATCAAGATGAGAGTTTCAGATGTTTCCCATCATCCCTGAATGTAAAGCTCACTCTGTTTATATCTGTATAGGTGAAGGGAGACAGTGGAATAATATTTTATCCCTCAGGATGTTCTTCAAATGCTCCCTGGCTTTAACACACTGTAATTACTAATGGTTCCCATTCCACTTTAGGAATCGATATCTCAAAATGTGCATGCCGAAGTGGAATGTGGGGTTTGTAAATTGCCCTTTTGCAGTGATTGAATGGAAATGAAATTTCGAAACCTTGCCCGCAACAAGCTTTTCTGACAGATGTGATCCAGACCTGAGACTCAGAGAGAGAAAACCTTTACCAGTGATCTTTGACATTCTCGAAGGGCAGGCATGTACCAGCACAGCTACATTCTTCAGCGAATGATGTCTGAATTATTTGTATTTCTTGTTTAAAGCCTTCAAGAGGTGTTTGTGTTTTAGTTTTCATTCAGTGATTGAGTAATGACACCGCTTTCTCCACTAACAACTGCAAGGCAACTATTGTAAATATTTATCTTCTAACAGTACAATATGTTTATTATACTTGCATCTAAATAATAAAAAGATTTATACTCAACTTTTGAGTTTGCAGTCTTCATCTACACACACAATTCACTCTACAAAAGTCATTTTTAACCATTAAAATGGCTGAAGTGGTGATGCATTAAGTATACCTCAAAGATATTTTTTATAATCTTTTCATTTGCAATATTACACATGCAATTTCAATGCTTCCTAAAATTAAGATGTTAAAACATTCTTACAAAAGCTTTCTATTTCAAATATATGCTGTTTTTATACTTCCACAAAAATATTAAGCAGCACATCCGTTTTCAATATTGATAATAGTAAACACTGAATACTGGAGTAATTGCTGCTGAAAATCAATGAAAACTTTTGAATGGTAGTGTGTACCTAACAATTGTTATAGGTAAATCATTTAGGGCATATTCTTTGCTTTGTGTTCAAATTATGTTGACATAAAAATTGTGAAATTATGGACGGAAAAATACCTCCATACTGAAACTATTGAAAACAATAGTAAGCAAAATGTTTTAAATGAGATGTTGACCCTTTACTCCCACAAGAGGGAAACCTCAGTGCACTGGGGAAGCGGTAAGGGTTCATACTGACACAAAGACCATACACACACACACACACACACACATATATATATATATATATTTGAACCACAAAACCAGTCATAAGGGTAATTTTTCTTTTTTTAAAATTGAGATTTATACATCTGAAAGCTGAATAAATAAGCTTTCCGTTGATGTATGGTTTGCTAGGATAGGACCATATTTGGCCGAGATACAACTATTTGAGAATCTGGAATCTGAGCGTGCAAAAACAAATCGCCTTCAAAGTTGTCCAAATGAAGTCCTTAGCAATGCATATTACTAATGATAATACATTTTTTATATATTTACGGTAGGAAATTTACAAAATATATTCATGTTACATGATCTTTACTTAATATCCTAATGATTTTTGGCATTAAAGAAAAATAGATAATTTTGACCCATACAGTGTATTTTTGGCTATTGCAACAAATATACCCGTGCAACTTATGACTGGTTTTGTGGTCCAGGGGCACACACACACACACACACACATACACACACATACATATATATATACAGTATATATATATACATAGCAATTTATTGGAAGGATTTTTAAAGTAGTCGGTGTAATAAAACGTTGACAGTCTGTCAAAATTGCCTTTGAAAGTGTGATAACAGTGTAGAGCAAAGTTAATGTTTCTCTCTATTAAGGATCTCACTCTAAATCTCACAAACATTTGTTAAAAGTTACAGGTTTTCGCCTTACAAGACTCGAAGGGCAGGCATGTACCAGCACAGCTACATTCTTCAGCGAATGATGTCTGAATTATTTGTATTTCTTGTTTAAAGCCTTCAAGAGGTGTTTGTGTTTTAGTTTTCATTCAGTGATTGAGTAATGACACCGCTTTCTCCACTAACAACTGCAAGGCAACTATTGTAAATATTTATCTTCTAACAGTACAATATGTTTATTATACTTGCATCTAAATAATAAAAAGATTTATACTCAACTTTTGAGTTTGCAGTCTTCATCTACACACACAATTCACTCTACAAAAGTCATTTTTAACCATTAAAATGGCTGAAGTGGTGATGCATTAAGTATACCTCAAAGATATTTTTTATAATCTTTTCATTTGCAATATTACACATGCAATTTCAATGCTTCCTAAAATTAAGATGTTAAAACATTCTTACAAAAGCTTTCTATTTCAAATATATGCTGTTTTTATACTTCCACAAAAATATTAAGCAGCACATCCGTTTTCAATATTGATAATAGTAAACACTGAATACTGGAGTAATTGCTGCTGAAAATCAATGAAAACTTTTGAATGGTAGTGTGTACCTAACAATTGTTATAGGTAAATCATTTAGGGCATATTCTTTGCTTTGTGTTCAAATTATGTTGACATAAAAATTGTGAAATTATGGACGGAAAAATACCTCCATACTGAAACTATTGAAAACAATAGTAAGCAAAATGTTTTAAATGAGATGTTGACCCTTTACTCCCACAAGAGGGAAACCTCAGTGCACTGGGGAAGCGGTAAGGGTTCATACTGACACAAAGACCATACACACACACACACACACACACATATATATATATATATATTTGAACCACAAAACCAGTCATAAGGGTAATTTTTCTTTTTTTAAAATTGAGATTTATACATCTGAAAGCTGAATAAATAAGCTTTCCGTTGATGTATGGTTTGCTAGGATAGGACCATATTTGGCCGAGATACAACTATTTGAGAATCTGGAATCTGAGCGTGCAAAAACAAATCGCCTTCAAAGTTGTCCAAATGAAGTCCTTAGCAATGCATATTACTAATGATAATACATTTTTTATATATTTACGGTAGGAAATTTACAAAATATATTCATGTTACATGATCTTTACTTAATATCCTAATGATTTTTGGCATTAAAGAAAAATAGATAATTTTGACCCATACAGTGTATTTTTGGCTATTGCAACAAATATACCCGTGCAACTTATGACTGGTTTTGTGGTCCAGGGGCACACACACACACACACACACATACACACACATACATATATATATACAGTATATATATATACATAGCAATTTATTGGAAGGATTTTTAAAGTAGTCGGTGTAATAAAACGTTGACAGTCTGTCAAAATTGCCTTTGAAAGTGTGATAACAGTGTAGAGCAAAGTTAATGTTTCTCTCTATTAAGGATCTCACTCTAAATCTCACAAACATTTGTTAAAAGTTACAGGTTTTCGCCTTACAAGACATCTATTTGGCCACTGAGTTTCCACGGAAACACCTGTTTCTTGAATGAAATTGAGACCCTCCTATGT